TACGCTCACTGTAGTGTCTGTCACTTTTATTTCTCAGCTCTCAAAGAGGGGTGAGGAGGACTAATTCCATTCTGTGTCCTTAAAAAACTAACATTGTTTTGTTTTTAAGCTCAAGTATGGTTAACAAAAAAAAAAGAACAAAATACATCTGCTGTGCTCATGTTGCTCCGCGTGTGGTATTGCTCCTGTTCTGTCAAGGTGGTTGTGTTTATACCTTGGAATACACAAAGAAGTCCTAAGAACACTTCACCTGAAAATAAGTGAAGATGTTATAAAATCAGACACGTTTCCTGTGTTCTGCTACTGTAGAATTTTAATTCTTGATGGACTCTTCTGGCACTTCTCTTAGGAATATGCACTGCTGCTAAGGAAAGTGGAAAATGGAAAGAAGAAACATACTTTTTTTTCCTTGCTTTAAATGTGAGTGATAAGCATAACTCTTCTGGTACTTACAGAATCCATGGCAAACTACAAAATAAAAGTGTAGAAAATAAGAATTGAGAGCATTACATTTCTGTGGTGTTTAGCAGAGCTCTCATTCACCTTTGAATTGCAGCTTCTCTAGGATTGAATAATCTCTGTCTAAATTAAATTTTTAATTCAGTAAAGCAGTACTGTTTGCTTGGATTTGGGTACTTCCTGGATGGAAAGCGTGTTGCTTTGTTTCTATTTTAATCCAAAGGCACGGTGAGAGAAGAGAATGATTTGCCAGAGGGGAAGAAGCAAAGGAGAATAGTTGAAAATAGTTGAATTTTCTCATTAACACATTATTGATACTGAAAAGCTACAGTAAATTTGTCTGACGTAGTGGCATCAAAGTGGCCATAGGTCGAGTGTACTTTATAGATGTCTGCTTCAAAGACAAAGAGGAGATGAAAAAGGACCTCACATCCAGGCACCATTGGACCAAAGAGCAAAACTGTGAAGTGCTCAAATTTTCATTAACATCTATTGTTGCCAACTGAGATCAAGCCAGGAAAATATAAGCACCCAATGAGAAGTACCTCTGCTGAACAGTGATTGCTTTAAAAAATATAATTTGACTTAGCCTGTAAACAGAAATGGTGATGTGGAAGTAAAGCAATGATACTTCTTTGGCCAAAGCCACATACCAGGTGTATGGCTGAGCAAGGAAGAAAATGCAGATCTCCTGCATCTCATGGTGTTGCTTTCTGTGTAGGACCGCGTTACTTCTTAAAGCATTTATGCTGTCGGGAGAAAGGAGCAGAATGGATGAATGCTTGTCAAGGCCAGATGACCAATGGCTGTTTCTGGGCTTTGTATTTCAACACTCAGTAAAATTCTGAAATGTGTAAATATTACTTATGCTGCAGCATGGATGAAAGGAGTTCTATGTATTGCTCTTTCTTCACCTCACCATTAGCCCGAAAGCTGAGAACTCTTGAGTTTTAGAGAAGTGAATTTATTTTATAACTGTAAAAAAAAAAAAAGTTTGAAAAGACTGAAAACTACCTTGTTTATGTGTAGATGAGCAAATCACAGCTTGTGAAAGTTGCAGCTACATTCTGGGAGCAAAAGTTAAACTTGTAGTTTAATGGATAGCAGCAAGCCCCTGAAACATGGGCAGTTGTAATATATTATGGGAAGGGGAGGGGGTGCCTTACTGATTGGATTCGTTCACTTGCTTTCGTTTTAAACCAAGTAAATAACATTTGTGCCCATTAGGTTATGCCATGCTAATGTGAAAGAGGTGAGGGAAGGGGAAAAGCACCATCTGAAGAAAATGAAAAGGGTGATTGTGCTCTCTCCTTTTCTGTTTCTCATATCTGCACAATCTTTACACCATCAAGAAAGCAGAAACTGTGGTATGTGGCTTTTGGTTTTGGTTGTCTCCAAGGCAATTCAGTGATAGAGTGAGTTTTGTTCCCTTGCTTCAGAAGTTACTGTGAATAATTCTTCAACCAGTTTCAGATCCTCTAAGTTTTCCAAAACTCCAGTTGGCACTTGGGATCCTGATACCAAAAGCAGTGCAAGCAAGAAGCTGTATGCTGGTTCCTTTAAAATTGCTCTTGGTAGCTTGCTAGAGTCTAACTCTGGAGAATTCTTAAGATTTCTACTCCACAAGTCTTAGATCTTATATGTATATATATATATAGACCATATATATATATATAAGATCTATATCTATATTTATATCTATATCTATCTATATAATATATGTACATATCTATTTTTTATATATATATATATGTTCTTATATATAAAATAAATAAAATTTAAGATCTAAGATATATATATATGTACACACTTGTTCCAAAGTGTGGCATGGTTTAGTTATTAATGTAGTATGCATAGAAGTCTTGCTTTTAAAAAGAACCTCTATCCTTGCTTATATCATGGAATCTTTTATACAGCCAAAGCTTCAGGAAGATGTAGGGAATGAAGTAACATACAAACATTCAGATTTTTTTTTTCCCCAACTTTTAAGTTCGTTGCTAAATAACAAAACATCACTTTTGTTTTCAGTTCAGTATCTATCTTTCAGTTTTTTTATCAGTTCAGTATCTATCTTTGTTACAATTAATCCCATAGTTGAAATTAATCATAGGTAAGAATCTTCTACTGCTGAGTTTCACAAAGGTTTGAAGTCATAAGGTGATGGTTTTTGTAACCTTTACTTAAATTGCAAGGATAGCCTTCAAACGTATGGAGGGAGGTAAGGCTTCCATGTCCATGGTGAGTTGGTGAGAGTTTGGTTCCCTTTGGGATCCCTCCCACAGCGCTTCTGACATTTTGTGGTGATGCTTCCCTAGCAGCAGGTGGGCACAACTTAACTAACGAGAGGAACTAGAAGCTCCCTTTAATTTCAAAGACTGTTGATCTGGATCACCTCGTTTGTGCATTGATCCCTGTTATTTGAAGTCCCATCAGAAACCTTCAGTTGTTTTACGGTAGCATTAGGAGTGAAAAATCAGGTAACTTTGTAGTACTGCATTTATTTAGCCTAATAGAAATGGGCTTAGGCTGGGGACAGGATAAACTGGCCTTTTCCTATCAGGACTGTCTGTTCAGTCCTGTTGAATATCACATCAAACGCACTTCATGACTGTTGCTTCAGCTTGCAGAGTGAAGTTAATTGTGTGGAAAATTCTTTTAACAATAAAGCAAAGTTCTTGTAAGAAATGAAGCTGTGTCCAGGTAATCTGACTGGAAGTCCAGGCTGGTCGCTTCTTGTTTCTTAAAATTTTACTACTTTTCCTTAAAACACCTCAAAGATGCCACCTTCAGAAACATTAGGTCTCACAAACTGTACAGCTCTGTGGGAGCAAAGGTAGGTTAGCATCTTGTTCTAGGCATTTGCCCATGAAATTCACATGTTGCAAACCTATGCTGCCATAGGGTGGTCAGCTGCAGTTTCTGTAAACCTCTCACTAAGAATAGTCATGTTGCTTGTGCAATAGCAAGAGGTGGAGCTCACCCTTCATTTCCAACTCCTACTGGCTAGAGCCAGTCAGAGCTGCCAGGAAGGAGTCAAGGCCTTGTTTGGCTGGGAAATGCTTTTGGGTGGCCTTCACCCCGGGACAAGCACACTTCCAATTATACTGATTTTGTTTACAGAATATCTTTTTAACACTCTGGGAGATTTGTTGGGCTTTTTTATCCCTTATTCTTCTGGAGCATCTGTTCTAGATTTGCTCTAGACAACCTTTCTTCTTTATTTTGGATTTAGTTATAGTGATCGTGGTAATGAGGCTCTGCTTGTCACAAGTGGAGCTTTTGCTTTGATCTTTGTGTCGGGGTGCTGTGCTCCCCACCTCTCTGCTGGCAGTGAGAGATGCCATTTCAGAGACTATTCCCTTAGCACTATATTTTTTCTTTTTTCTTTTTTTTTTATTTACTAATACTACTATTCCCATAGCCTCTTATGTTGTTTTCATATAAACATACGTTGCTTGAAACCATTGTGCAAGTTTTGGGTCCTGAGAAGACTTACGCAGCAAGGCTGTTTAGGGCAGTTGCTCCTCTGCTTCATTGGGAGTTTTTAAGGCAGTGGTCAAGACACAAAGCTGGAAGGTAAGAAGCAAGGAGGAACTGTGTCCTATGAGGCTTACATGAGAGCTTCTTCATAATTATACCCATATGTAGTGTTACTGTAGTGAACATAGGGCATAAAAACCCTACAGAGACATCTGTCATCCAGCAGTCTCTTCTGTCCTGTCTTGTCTCTCTTCTGATTGATTTTCTCATTGCTTCTTTCAAAGTCATATGAAAGTTCATTCTCATTTAATTCAGTTACTGTTGTTCTGGCCTGGAGATTCTGGGAAGTGTTTTTTCTGCATTTATCTGTTTAACCCTACAGTCACACTTGCGTAAAGTATCAGTGAATATTTCAACCTAAAGGGCAAGTTGTGTTGACAAAGCAGTGGTTTTACTGTTTAGTGAGACAGCCTAAGCATTCCAATAAAAAGTTTCCTGTTATGTTCCTGTGTCAGCCAGAGACAGTCACGATTAATGTGGGAGAAGTTGGTAGATCGTGTTGAAATGGTACAAATGAAGTACTAATACTTGTATGTGGGGCAGTCACTTAGGTTTGGTTTCGTTTCCCCCAGTTTCCTGACTGAAACAACCTCCGCTTATGGTTTTGCAGGTCCTGGAGGTATGGCTGCTCTACTTCAATATGTTTTTAAAACCTTTCACTTCTCTCTAGCCTTTTTGCTCTCACTTCTCAGGTTTTCAGACCTGAATCTGAGAAAATCGTATAGCTGGCAATGGTTGGTAGCATCTGTGCTACCATTTGGTCTTAACACTTTTGCTAACATTGATGTGTTTGGATGAGTCTGTGAGGAAGACTGTTGTAGGTGATCTTTGGAGGTCCTTCATAATGGCTTCTGTTTTGAAAAGCTAGTATGGAATACCTATTTTCCCAAATCAATTTAGCTGAAAACTCAAAGCTAGGAGCTTAGCAGAAGTTGTTTACCTGTTGCTAGCAATGTTTAAATGAAACTGATTAGGTTTTGTTTGTTTTTGTCTTTGCTTAGAAACTATGTGAGGGAATTCTGAACATTCTGGAAAAAGACACAAAAACCTCGTGTCAAACTGCCTGTCTGGAAGCACTGCGGATTCTGTCCAGGGACAAGAAGGTTCTGGTGCCTGTAACCACAAAGAGGAACATGCAGATCCTCGTGAGACTGGCAAAGCTGGATATTGTGGAAGATCCTTTGGAGCGGGTGTCCGAATTTCCTGTTATAGTAGAAGCTCTAAAATGCCTCTGTAACATAATTTTTAACAGTGCCGTTGCACAGAAGCTCAGTTTGGAACTGAATCTTGCAGCCATGCTCTGCAATCTTCTGAAAAAATGCAAGGACCAACAGCTGGTTGGTGACATTAAATGCTTTGATTTGCGTCTTCTCTTCCTCTTGTCACTTCTGCACACAGATATTAGATCGCAGTTGCGGCAGGAACTACAAGGAGTGCAAGTTTTGACTCAGGCTTTGGAAAGTTCCCTGAATGTAAGATGGACAGGAGAATATAAAGCAGCAGAAGACCACGACAGGCCGCCTTTATCTTTGCAAGAGACAAATTGTGCCATTGAGGCACTGAAGGCTCTTTTCAATGTAACGCTTGACAGCTGGAATGTCCATAGCAAGGTAAGCTTTAGTTGAAATGATTGTTCTTTAAACGGGTTTTGCTCAGCCTGCAAGAACCAACATAAGCAGCAGTTTTTGTCCTAGCTCCAGAGCAAGGATTTTATTTTTTTTTTATTTTTTTTATTTTTTTTGCTGCTGTCATTCTGATAGAATTTAGATTGCGTTTTTCAGTACAGCAACTGAGGTGCTGCTGAAATTTTGTATTGGTGTCATAGCTTTCCTAAATGACAAACCAGTCTGAGAAAATTCCTCTGAATATGTGAATGCTGACTCTGTCATATATTGATCAAAAGCGATTGGAGAGTTGGTGGACCTCTCCTATGAAGAAAGGCTGAGGGGGCTGGGCTTGTTTAGCCTAGAGATGAGAAGGCTCTGGAGAGATTTCATTGTGGCCTTTCTCTCCTTAGAGGGGGTCAACAGGAAAGATGAGGAGGCATTTCACCAGGAACTGCAGTGATGGGACAGTGGGAAATGGTTTTAAACTAAAAGAAGGAAGATTTAGATTAGATGTTGGGTAGAAATTGTTGACATAGAGAATGGTGAGGTGCTGGCACAGCTGCCCAGAGAAGCTGTGGGTGCCCCATCCCTGGAGGCATTCAAGGCCAGGTTGAATGGGGCCCTGGGCAGCCTGAGCTGCTGGGTGGCAGCCCTGCCCACGTAGGGAGCTTGGGACTGGCTTTAAGGTCCCTTCCAACCCGAACCATTCTTGGGGTTTTAAGAGGTGTTGAGTCTCTAATGCTTATTGCTTATAATGCAAAAATAACTTTCTTGCTCTTATTCCTACTTAGGCCAAAAAAAAAAAAAAAAGTCTTTTCAATGTGTTTTCTGTTTAATGGGGGAGTAGCTTGGATGATATAATGAAATAATTAGAAGTGTATGTTTCCAAACAAAAAAAATGCAAAATACAGTAGAATGTGTCAAAGAAGACTGTTTAATGAGAGTCCGAGACCTCTGAAAGAAAACGAACTGTTCAGCAGTAATTAGTTGGCTAGGAAAAACTCTGTCATGTAGCTGTACCAGCTGGCTGCATCCTTTGAGATTGTGGACTGTGGCAACAGAGTAACAATTAGAGCTGAGGAGTTTGACTAGTTTTATTTGTTTTTTTCTGGGCTTGAGGATAAGCCCATCAACTGTAATTTCCAGCCACACGTAACCGAAAAAAACAAGCAGATGCTGTTTTGAATGTCTTTTTCTCCCATCATCACAGCTTCAGTTTTGGATTTAAACATGATCTTTTAAGATTAGGTCATGTATGAGAACCAAACACACTTTCTTTGTTATCTTATTCATAGAATTTCTCTATTTTCTATGGCAACAGCAGGTCTATTTTTTTCTCATGGACAGAGATGCTGTGTTTTGTGTTGTATATTCAAATTTATAAACTTGGGCCTATATTAGAGCAATAGAATTAAATAGATTAAAAGGTGTTCTTAGACCATGTCATATTGTCTCTAAAACAGTTTTGTTAACTTTTCATTGGGTGTTGTAAATCTGTAGTGTATGAAGCTAAGTAGAAGGTAGCAGTGGTTAAAATAAGTAATAGGCAAGTAATTGTTCATTTTAGTGTACTGTACTGAACAACAGACACGGTGCTAATTATTACATTCCAAAATGTAAAACCATATAGAAATATAAAGATTATATCTTAGGGACACCAGATAAAAAGTTAAATTTAAGATTAATTGATTGAGTGAAAAAAAAATCAGAGAGGCTGGGTGCTTCGAATTTTGGGGAAGTGTGAAGAAAGTGAGGAACTTTTCTCTGGAAAATGAGTCAGTATTACATGTTGGCCTGTTGAGAAGTAATCTCTTGAAATCTCAGTCTCAAGTTATTATATCAAGTTATTATAATATCAAGTTGTTAGTATACTTGCTCAAGATTTCTGAGATGAAAAACAGCTTACAGCAGATGGGAGGAAGGAGGCAGTTGTGTCACCTGGTGAGGTTTCATTGGGCACCTGCCTTTGGTGTAAGGGAGGCTTTTTCCCGCAGATTTTTTCCTCCTTGAAAAACCCACACAGGCAACTATCAGGAAAATTCCCTTCCAATTTCAAGACATTTTGGTATTAATATCCTTTTCATTTAGTTGGCTTATGGGATGAGAGCTGAAGTCATTCTGGGACAGGAGAACCTTCTTTCGTGTTTTGAAATGGAGTTTATGTAATGAGTTCTCACTAAATGTTCCTAAAAGCAAGCAACCCTTAAATTAAAGAACTCTTTGATAGTTATAAACTCTTAACAAGATATTAGGTGATGTTCTGCTTAGCAAGTATCCCTGTGGAAATATTAATGATCTGTAAGAAAAGTAAACATCATGTTAATTAAGGGGACTGAAGATGCAGAATTTGAAAAGTTGAGAAACAGGCAGGCTGGAAAACAAAAGGGAGATCAGAGAGGTGTGTGGGTAGAAAGCTGAATGAAACTCATCATAAGGAGAAGAGAACCATCTGAAACACCAGTGTTTAATGACTGGAGTTGATTTCAAAGTAGCAAAGCCAGAGGAGCTGCAGGTGGTACAGTTGGCAGATTTGGATGCTGATGTTACATGTGATGTATTGGGGTGCTTTGTGCAAAGCCAAATACACAAAGAACATATGATGGATGCCAAGAGGAGCTAATAAAAAGGACAAGACAATGATAGATATAGTTTTGTGATTACCTTTACTGGCACACTTCTGTGTGACTGCACTGTGGTGAAAGACTGGAAGGAAGTGCTGTTTCAAGAGAGGAAAAGTAGGGCAAATAAGGTTGCTGAGTGTAGAGAAGTTATTAAGGAAGTGTAGAAAAATGTCAAGGGAACAGAAGCAAGTGAACTAAGAAAGGAAACATATTGGGTGGGAGAATGAAACTGTTGGCAGCAAAAGCACTGAGTGAGAATGAGACGAGCAGAGAACGTATGTAATCTAAACTGATGAAGAGACATCAGTCCTGGGTGTAAATAGAGAAGAAGATAGGAATGTTATGTTAGGAATAATTGTATGGAATTGGGCAAATAGTTCTAATGGGGTTTTCTATTAGCGAGGACTCATTTGGCTGGAAGAAGATCCCCTTGCTTTTTAAAAGGCTTCATTTGTTGAAAGGCCAGCATCTGAAAGTACACTGCATTAAGCGTTCAAGTGAACTCTAAGGTGAAGTCCTTGTATTGATAGGGATGGATGTTGTGATCTAATAGGTATTTTCCATTTTTAATTTTTATTATTCTAGTGACCTGAAAACCTCACTTGCAATCTTCAAAATGAAAAAATATCTTCATAATTTATATTTATATAGAATGAATCTCATCAATTTCGTTACATGGCTGCCATCCTTCGGTACTGCTTATTAACCACGGGCCCCACTGAAGACAAAACTGAAGAGTTGCACAGGTTGGTAAAATTGCAGAGACAATCTACTTGTGTTATTACCACAAAATAAATGAGTCGCTTTCACTGATATCTAAAGTGGGAATCTGAGAACCAGTGAAAACTGTAATTTTATGGTGGAATGCAACTCTTGTTGTTTTGCATAGAAGTTGATGGAAAACTGTGAGGTTTTTGTATGTAATTTCTGCAATTTTGATAACGCAGTGGAAGTAACACATTGATACTTCTGTCTCCAGTAGTTCAAGAGTATAAGTAGTACCAGTGTCAATTTCTTCATCACTATTTGTTCCAGTTAAGTCATCTTGCAGTTCTGGGTGTGTTTCTTGTCAGTCCCACACCCAATTGCTTTCTTCATATTTACCTCCAATAACTCAATTGAAACTCAGTGTTCTTGCTGACGTCTGGTGATTCTTCTCTGTTCAGCGTTAGTAGTCTTTTCCCATGACATTTTTGTTTTTAATCAAATCGAGTTATTCAAAGAGCTGAGCAAATACAGGAGCATCAGACACTATGCCACAATAGCTTGGGCAATAAAAACCTGTTTTGCAGTTTTCTTTGTCTGAGACATCAGTTTATCTAAGTGCAAGATCTTTTGATGATCCTTTTATGAACCTGCAGTATCCAGCAAGAAGGGTGCAGCTTTTCACACCCAGCGGTCTTGAAAGAGTTAAATGAGCTTTAGTGAAATCTTGGAAAGCTCTTAGAGATCAACAGTCTTAGTAGGCAAGCACTAAAATCCCACATCAGAGCCATTCTCAGTTTTTGCAGGCTGATTTGGAATAATTTAGGAGACTGCTGCAGTAGTTGCCATGACTGGAGTTAGTGCTGAGTGTGTCCTAAAAGGCAGTCAGTGTTTTCTCTGTGCTGCTGCTTGTGGTGGTTTGTTTTTTTGCTTTCTCATCCTTCTGAAGCAAAGACTGATGGGTCTGAAATTCCTACTGCTGGGAAAATTGAACAGATCTGTGTAAGTTCCACAGCTACTGGAAGATAGAGATCTTTATCACTTCAGCTTGTAAAGTTCCCAACGACTGCCTGATAGTTTGATGAATTATCGTACAGTGGATGCTGCTCTTGTGAAAACAAGAAAAATGCCATATTTCCTTGTCCAGGAGTGCAAAACTGGCCTAATTACCCTGTAAAATATCACCCTTGTAAAATTTAATTTCCTTGCGCTGTCACAAAAGGATGCGCATTATGAAAGCCCTTGTGTGTTTACCCCTTGTAGACACCTGCAGATCAGGACCAAAGAGGGCTTTATAGATAGAGGTAAGCAGCAATGGACAACATGTAGTATTAGTGTGATTTCTGTTTGTTTTGTTTTTTTTTTTGCTTTTTTTCAGCCAGAAGGAATATGTTTTGTAGATATGCTACTTACATGGAGCATCCCTCCTTATGGAGGTGCCAGATCAAGGCAAGAATTCCCCCCAGTTCTGAGGAGGGGAAGCAGAAGGAGGGAGGATGAATCACTGCCTTATTCCTTCTGTTGTCTCCCTTTCTCCATAAAATTCAGCATACCACTGCATTGGCCTTTTTCTGCTGGGAATACAACTTTTTCCCTCTGTTAGCCAATTTTGTTCAGCTTAGGTTGACAGAAGAGTGCAAGTGGAGCACTGCTGCCTGTAATATTTGATCTTGATTTATGACATGCTCAAAGTTGTTTGTTTGTTGTTTTTTTTTTAAATGTGTTAGAGTAGCACAGCACACATTTGGAACTTTGTGATTTAAATATCTCAGCCCATCTGCAGAGCTTAAATTTTGCCTTGGAACGCTACATGCTGCAGTAGAAGCTGAATAACTTAGGATGCTTTTCTACCCCCAACATTCATCACAGGGCAGTTCTGGAACAGAAGAGATACAGTCAGAAGTTATGACCCAGCAGATCTCAGGGAGTTGGGTATCTCAGTTCAATCCCCTGTTGTAATAAGCTGAGGAAATCTTTCATTCCTAATTGAAGTTTCTGCAATACATGGCTAAACCTGTGTAAGCTGTCTATAGCCAGCATGGGAAAGCAGGCTGGGTCAGTTGGGCTGCTAAATAGGCTGGGCTCTGACCATGGGGTCCTTATTGCTGCACTGAGGTGAGAGTCAGAAAGAGTTCAGCTTCCCCGTCTGCATCCCAGCCAGCAGTAACACAGTTACTAAAGTGTCATTAGTCATAGAATGAAACAGACTTGAATAATAAATAAATAAATAAACAGACTTGAATGCAGAATGCAGTATCAGGAGGCGTATTACCTGGAGTTTCTGTTCACTTCTGTAAGTCTGAAAACCTGCAGAATGTAAGATGTGCAGCTGAAGGGTTTGGAGGGCCTGTTACAGTGTGTTGCATGAGTTCTTGTGCTCAGAGTGTCCAAGCTGAGGATTTATTTTATATGAGCATCAGGTATTGGATACATGCCCTTAACTGTGTTGTACAGATTCTTGGTTTGACTTATCTTCCTAAGAAATGAGCAGAAGCTACCTACAAAAAATCCCTTAACTAATTTAGTACCAGCTATTGTTGTCATTATTGTGGTTCTGTCACGTCATTACTTAACGTTTGAATATGAACAGCTTACAGCACCACATATTAGAGCGAGTGCCGTTTTTGCCCACTAACAAGGCTTTAATCAAGGCATTCTGCAGCTCTAAATAGGCCTTTGCTTCTGAATTTGCATATCAGGAGGGGGCTGGGAGCATGAGTGGGTGGATGTCATGTCCCAGTGATTAATGATCTCTGGGAAGCCAAAAAGGGGAGAGTAATATACGCAGTATTTCTACCCCCTGGAGTAGGAATGCAAACACTATTGTGCGGATCTGTGCATAGTCACTGACTTCCTGGTAGCTGGAGAATTTCATACACTCCTCTACCACAAATAAAACTGTCAGTGAAGTGACAAAGATCAGAAAGCTGGGCTTCATTTATTGAAAAGAATAGCTCAGACACAGTGATCCAGAAAATTAATTTTGTAGGTGTTTGAGAACTTGGTTGTTTAATAAGGAACTGGTTAAAAAGAGAACTTTTGATGAAAGGATGAAAGCCACCAAATATTTGTTGAATTTCAGTCTGCTTTGCTTCTGACTACTCCTGAAATACTGGACTTCTGTAATGTAGAAGATGTCTTAAACAGGAATGAGAATAATTTCTTCCAAAAGAGCAAGTCGTCTGAAATTCAGTTATTAGAAGAACAGAAGGGAGGTAACAGCGTGGAGCCTGATCAGACTCCAAGCAGCACATTTGTTAGAAATCCTCTCGTGTCATTGCTGTTTTGCTTTCTGACATGTTAGACCTTTGTTAGAATTGTATGAATAACGTAAAAACAGAGTGCAGCTTCTATGTAAAAGCATTAACTGAAGTTTCTCCACTCTTGGGATTCTCAGACACTCTTTGGAACATCGTTTACCCATAGGTCTTTTGATAGCTTTGAGGCCTGCTTACCTAAAACCACATCATTCTGTAGTATTTTTAAATATGTCCATTTCAAATTGCAGTTGGGCATTAAATAAAGACAGTTCTAAGTTTTGCTGCATCTGTGTCATTTAGTCTGCTTCAGGAAGAGTACAAATTGTGGTCTGTGTAATGAGAACAGGATAGAAAGCAAACTCAAAGGATATGTAACGGAGTTCCTTAAGTTCCTTGCAAAGTAAGTTCCTCATTGTACTCCACTTTGTGGATTGCAAAAGCTGCCAGTTATTGCACGTTAGTGCTTGGTAAGTAAGCCTGAGCTTTTTGAAGTGTTAAAGCCTCTTGTATTTCCTACATACTACGAGCTGAGGAAAAGTGAAAGCATTCCAGGGAAACTGAGAAATTACCACCACACTCCACTGATATACAGAGGGAGAAGTAGATTTCCATGGCATACTTTTGTCAGAATAATGATAGGACATGGCCAGATTGTAAAATCTTTTCAGTTTCAAGGAGGAAAAAGCTCTGAGCCCTGCAAGTCAATGTGAGAGTTCCCCCTGCTGGCTCAGCTGCTGGAAAGTAGTGCTGGTGGCTGTGCCTTATCCTAGGGATGTGATTCTGTGAAGGCTAGAGGTGATGCTGCACTGCTGCTCTATTGCTTCTGGAGCTTAGGTCATTCTTTTTTCTTGCTCATTCTGAAGCTAGCACTCAGGCATAATGTGTGCCACCTTCTTTAAAATGCAGAGAATAGAAAACAAAGCATTGCTTCAGTTGCAGGGCCTTTTGTTGTTGTTGTTGCAGTCAAACAAACAGTACGGCAAGTTGTGCTGCCTTTGCTTCTTTCTTTCAAATAAATAACAAATTCTAACAATCTGTTTCAGCAATGCAATCAACCTCTTAAGCAATATTCCCGTTTCTTGCTTGGATGTCCTTATTAATCCATCATCCCAGGAGGAAACAGATATAAAATACAATGGTATGAATATGAGAGCCATCCAGATTTTATTGGATTTCATGGAGAAGAGAATTGACAAGGTATGGTCTGTGAAGGTTTCTGTCAAATGTGGCTTCTTTCATTAAATTAAAAAGTGGATGTCTGTAATGTTTGTAAGAATCTTTTCAGGCAGCATTAGGAAAAACATGGATGTCCTTGCTTGATTCTAGATTGTGAAACATTTCAAAATTGAGAGCAAATTCCTGTGAATACCTGAAGCATGCTTGTGTTTTTAGGACCATGAGCATTTGGCTCTTTGTTTATATCTGTGTGAAGTTCATGATTTGATCATCACGGGGCTTTTTTGTAAAGTTCATAGGATTTGAAATGCACGTTAAAAATGTTTTTTTATTTGTTTTTATTTTAGGGAAGCAGCTATAGAGAAGGTCTGACTCCAGTTCTCAGTTTATTAACAGAATGCTGCCGAACTCATAGGAATATCAGGAAGTTTATCAAAGCTCAGGTATGTAGAATAGTCATCTAAATTCGAATATGAAACTAATAACAAATATTCTTAGATTTGTACATCAGTGCAGTGCACTGATACCTTCAAAGCATGGATGGTTTCCTATTAAATTACCCAGAAAGTTCTCTCTCCGGTATTTATTTTTTCCATTATGCCTCTCACAGCTGTCAGCTATAGAAATATTTTTCCAGAGTCACGTAAATCAATAGATAGTATAGCTTAAGTTCCACAATAAATGCTGTGAGCTGTTAAATAATATTGGAGATATTGTAAAGCTGTGGTAGGGGGGTCACTGTGGTTGGAAAAAAGCCCAGTAATGTCTGACCCCTTACATCCAGCTTGTCAGAAATACTTCAGTGCAGATGAACAGACTTTATCAAGCTGTATGGAAGCCAGTGAGACTACAGACATTTTGGTCACTTCTGCTTGAGCTTTAATTTGACTCAGCAGACAGGAGTCTTGGGAACTGAAACTTGTGAACCAAGCATGGATCTGCTGTTCCATTGGAGCAAAATGTCGTCCTTTATCACTTAAAGGTCTCTTCAAAGAGCTGTTGAATACAGTGCAGACTCTGAGAGGTTCTTCTGAGGGAAAAATGATTCCAGCACTATGGTGAAAGATTAAACGATCACATAATGGTTGAGTGTGGTGGGTTTCGGGGTTTTATTTGCTGCTTTTCCTGAAGTTGAAGAGAGAAAACTTTAAAACATGAGTAAGGAAGGAACAGATGAGACCAGCTGAGGGATGTGTTTTTCCTAACCTGTGATGCTTTTTGGTTTGCATCTTAAATGCCACTCCCAGATCAAAGCTGTGCCTGAATTCACAAATAGGATTTGTAATGGCAGTGAGCATATTTTGCATATATTGCCCACTTCTTTCACCAGACAGTGTTTTGAAGCCCATTTTTGTTTAAATATTTTGTTTGCAGCAGTTCTTTCCTGGAATACTCCTTCTCATCTGTTAAATTTCTTTTAAAAAAAAATTGCAGAGCCAAATATTCCAAAGTTAGAAAGTGAGGCTGTCTGCATGTTTTTACTGCATCTCAGCATCTAGGTGTCAGGATGCAACTGGTTGTCTTCCCCCAGGAACACTGCCTCATAATGCAGGAAACGGATGGGTGCTGCTAACTACATGACCAGATGTTTGATATTTTGAATGGTTTGAGTGTTGGCCTTAGGCTTTATTTAGTGTGCACTATTCAAATTCTCATCTGAAGATTAATTTCCTCCTGGACTGTCCTGTGGAACTCATCACGGTATTAGCATTCAACTGTTCTGAAAACATGAATTCATTCTTACAGCACTGTGGGAAATGGCAGTCATGGTATTTTCCCCATGGGGAAAGTAAGCAGGGACAAAGTGTTTGCTAGTTATGTGAGTGCTTAGATTGAAAAAAAAAGAAAAACAACAGGCCTGTCCTTCTCAAAGTAGTCAATACATAGCATGTCAGTATCAGCTCCCAGTGAGTCTGATTTCCGTGACTGTGCAGCAAATTTGCACAGAACACAATGTTTTGTGTTAAACACCTAGAAAACAAAGAACCTGCATTTCTTAATGGCAATTAGTGACAAGCTTGGTTTCCTTAGCTAGTAAAACGTGGGCGATCTATAATTCTTTCAGGAGTCTTCGAACTACTAAATAATTGGTGTTATGGCTTAGGTCTGTTTGCATGTCATGTCCTGTGAATGCAAAATAATGATCATAATCTGGGGTTTGAGTTTGAATGCACAGAAAAAGACAGGCTGAAGTTAGGTTGCCCAACCAAACATTTCAGGCATCTCCTGGCTTTCTGGAGGGTTGAAGTTAACAATACTAATGATATATAATGAGAAAACAGTGCGTTTTAGGTTATGTTAAAAAAGTGTTTTCTCCAAAATCTTTTTGAAAGCGAGCTTCAGCTTTCTAAGGATGTTATCTGGGAGAAGGATGAATTTCCTTTTTTACACATGAAGACAGTTTCTGAAATTTTTGTGAGAACTTGCAGTATGACTTACTTTCCTGCTTTTTCACTGTAAGTATACTTACTGTTCTGTACAAATTATGCATCCTATTAAGGTGGGTTTCACTAAGCTGTTATTAATGTTTTTGCCAGAAACTTGAACAAAACACAAGAATCTAAGAACATAAGGTCGCTGTTGCCTGTAACCAACTATTTTGGACCAGACATTTGTGCTTTTAAACTGCTAATAGCTGTCCTTTCCCAGATGTGTGCTTGAGGTTCAGCATGCGTTTGCCCAGGATGGCAGACCAGAAGGACTGAATGTGTGATGGAGCAAGAATCATTGCTAGTCCATGTAAACACAGCTGGGTTGATATTGGTCCTTTCTTTAAAGCAGCGGAACTGCAATATTTTCTTGTTCTCTTTACAGTGTTTCTGCAAGGATTGGCTCAGTGTTTCCATGTATTCTATGTTGCTGTTCTCTTATTTTTAATGCTGCTAGGTACTGCCTCCACTAAGAGACGTATCGAGTCGTCCAGAAGTTGGCACAACAGTGAGAAACAAGCTTGTGCGCCTCATGACACATGTTGACCTTGGAGTAAAGCAAATTGCAGCAGAATTTCTTTTTGTTCTTTGTAAAGAGAGAGGTATACATTTATTTTTTTTCTTCTCCCTTTTACATGAAGTCGTGCTGTAATGCTTGCCTCTCGCTATAACTCTTTTGATTGTGGCAGAACTATATGCTTTTTGTTCTGTAGCTGATTCTAAGCTGAACAATCTTTTGTCTCACTCTTTGCAGTTGACAGCTTGTTAAAATACACAGGCTACGGTAACGCGGCAGGATTATTGGCAGCAAGGGGCCTGTTAGCAGGGGGAAGAGGAGATCATTGGTACTCGGATGATGAAGATACAGATACGGAAGAATACAAATCTGCAAAGCCCAAGTATGGTATTGGTTTCAATTCTGCATTTCTTCTTGCAGTCAAGATGTTTTGACATAATTTTCTGTTTCCCCTTTTACAAAATGGCCGGCTGTTGAATTACATGTGCTTATATGGAGTACTGTCTCTTCTTGGCCTCATGGTTGAATTACTGAGGAACAGAATACAGTTGGGTGGCTCCAAGGAAAAAATACCCTCTCTGATAATGATTTAATTTCGGTAGGTGGAGCTACATAAAAATGAAATGCTTGTCAAAAAGAAACAATTCAAAATGTTTGTGGATGACCTAAGAACACTGTTAGAGGTTCAGAATACGTGTGTTGTCCATCTAAATGCTACCTTAAAATCTAAGCTTGTTAAATGAGAATAAGGGAAGGTGTAAGAGACAATACTCTTTCAGAGTAACAAAGCAGGGCAGAAAAGTTTTGCAGAGCAGATTTATTTCTGCACTTCATGTTATTTTCTTCCTTTTTTGTCTCTGCTCTTTCAGAAGGGAGCTCATAAACAGGAGGGGGAACAGCTGTTTACGAGGGTGGATAGTGATAGGACAAAAGGGAATGGTCTTAAACTGAGACAGGAGAGGTTTAGGTTAGATATTAGGAGGAAGTTTTTCACCCAGAGAGTGGTGACGCACTGGAACAGGCTGCCCAAGGAGGCTGTGGATGCCCCATCCCTGCAGGCATTCAAGGCCAGGCTGGATGTGGCTCTGGGCAGCCTGGTCTGCTGGTTGGCAACCCTGCACATAGCAGGGGGTTGAAACTCAATGATCATTGTGGTCCTTTTCAACCCAGGCCATTCCATGATTCTATGATTCATATCCAGCTGTACGCACAGAAGTAAAACTATGACGTCTGTTTAGTTAAAAGGTAGCACTTAAATGAAATGTTCAGGACAAAGCATCAGTTGCATTTGGTTTTCTGTGTAGTTTTTGTTTGTGGTCAAGCTATTTGCAATGATAATTTTTCCTGAAAATGTGCTTTAAAACTAATTCTCTGCTTTTGTTTCTCACCATCTCTGCATCACCATTCACTTGGTTTAACAGTGAAAATAACTGAGATTGTAAATTCACAGTGTAATACTAATTTGTTTTGAGCAAAAGTGATCATGAGAAGGAAACCTAATTCAGCGCTTCTTCCTGAATAAGAAAATTTCCCTTTTGGTCTGTGTTCTTAAAATCAAGCCTGTAGATTAGTTGCAATCATATATCTGTTATTTGCTCCCCCTGTGTGTCATTATTACTAATGACATTGTCATTACCAGCGTTAATACCTTGCTCTCAAACTACTGTATGGTGTAGAGCATAACAAGTACTAGTGGAATGTGCAGTACTAGAGTAGTGAACAAGGAATTATACAGTGCATCAACAGGAAGCTGTATTGTGAGTCACAGGAAAAGACTACAGATCAGTGTGTAGGTTGGCTATAGTAAGAGCTTTCACATGCAGTTCAGACAGCATTAGTCTCAGTGGTGTCTGTGAGTTGCTCTTTCCTCCTCTTAAAAAGACAGACAATTTACATACATTTTTATTAGAAATGTAACTATTTTATCTTTCCACCTCCAGCATTAACCTTATCACTGGTCACTTGGAAGAACCCATGCCTAATCCAATGGATGAAATGACAGAAGAACAAAAAGAATATGAAGCTATGAAGCTTGTCAACATGTTTGATAAACTTTCCAGGTATTGTATTTTAGCTGCATTTGATGGAGACGCTTTACATCCCCGTCCTTTGCTCTTTACTAAAGTCTACAGCTTCAAATAGTGCTGTAACCTACTCTGCAGAATTAGAGCCAATTTTGCTGTAGAGAAAAATGTTTAATACTTCAAAGGAAAGAGTGATGTTTTACCTCAAAGGAAACCCCTTTGGGATAGGGTTGGACAGAATCAGGTGTTGATGGAACCTGCTTACTAAATGGGTAGGCTGATGAATAATTAAATGAATTTCTCATTTTGATGTATGAGAAAGCACGAGACAGGTATACTTGTTTATCCCAAGCAGGATCTGATGGTAAATATTTATGTCATGCTGCTGATCTGAAGAACAATTACTGCATGGAAACAGCTGTCAGCAGAAGAAATGAGTTATCTATTAGAGCAAGTAAAAGGGAAGATACAATTAAGAATTCATCGGGACTTAGAGTAAATGCAGATTGGGTTACAAAGGAGGCTTTATCATTTGTTCTAGATGGCTATGGTAATGCCATAAAATAAATTGGTGTGGTATGTGAGCTGTAGATTTAGGTGAATTTGTAAGTGAATCATTTTTCAAACGAGGGGATGAACCTGAAGATAGAAACGTTTGTGTTTTGTAGAGTCGGTGAATATTCAAATAAAAAGTTATCTTGAGAGATGTTCCAGCCAATTAAATGTTTTCACCTGTCTGCTAAGGATTGTGGAAACAGCAAATCCTGGGGGTGGTTCTGGATTTCCTATTAGCTGGCAGAGACTGAAGTATAAACCAGAGTGTGAGCAGGGAAGAAACTGGAGACAACTGATTCAGTGAAATAATTGGATACTTGAATACTTTATCCAGGTTATTTGTATGGGAAGCAAGTGTCATAAGTTTACAGTCTTCTTAATAAAGAGAAGAAAACAGAATGCACATGTAATTCTAGTTAAACTATTATGTAAAACCAAATGGCTGCTACATGAGGAGAGAATTAAGATGCTGAGCATTAGGAATAGCATAATAAAATGTCTAAATGGTCTACAGCTTTTTTTTCTTTAAAGGGAAGATGTAGAGAAAGAAAAACTGAAGACAAGTCAGTTGCTGTCACTCTAGTAGTTGCACAAGAAGTCCAAATGGCATTACTGTAGCCTAAGAGCCTTTTCAGTTTGGAGGGCTGGAGACACCTGCTGTGTTGCCTGCTAAAAACTGACAAGCAGCTGGTGCCTGGTATTGCTCCTTACTCTCTTGGCCAGTAGCTTTGCTGTCACCTTGGGCTTTTATGTCTCATTACATCCACCTGCAGTTCCTTCTATAGTACTGGAACTGCCAAATCTTCAGGGCTGCAACTCTTTCTGCTGTTTGTTTGATTGGTTTTTACTGTAGGGCAGTTTTGTTGATGCGACCCCACTGTAGGTGCTGTGATAGCCTGTTTTACTAGAGAAAGGTATGGAAAACAGTTGAAGGACTAACAAACTCTTTTCCCCTTTTGACTGAGGGTAATGAAGGCAGTCTGGCTTTTATTATTTTTGAAAAGCTACCTGAGAGACAGACTGAGCTCCTCAAAAAAACAAATTTGCAAAACAGCAGTACATCACTGCAAATATATGGCCTGTCATTAGTGGCTGCTATCTGTTTTTGCAGCGTACCCTTTGGTGTGGGTTTATTGGAAGTAATAAAGTGGTGTTTTTCCCCTTGTTCCATAAGGCGCCAGTGGATTTCTGCTCTCCAAATTTCTCATTAATTTTGATCATCAGCACTGAAGAATTGAAATTGCTTTGAGGTGCTGTTAAATTGTTCCACGCTTTTGGTTGTTTCAGGTCATGTTTCCGGTCATGTTTCCAAGGCTTTTGTTTTCTGTTACGTTGCTGGTACTTAGGCCTGTTCATGAAGTAATTGACCCTCAATAAGGCTAAACTGCAAATTATCACCTAGTTTTATCAACAGGTATGGAGAAAAGCTGAAGATTGCTTGTGCACCCATTTACTCTGCCCAAACTAACACTGGCTCAGGTTGTACAAAAGCTTATATGGAAACTAAATGTTTGCTCAGATTTGGCTGGATGCAGTTACTTTATGAAAGTATTAAATATGTACAGATTATCAAGATTTTCACCCTCATTAATGCTTTCTGCTGCAGCACTTGGAAGATGTAGATGTTAGGTAGGTCGCCGAATGCCTGAACTTGGCCCTAAAGTAACTTCATGGGCTTTGCCTGTGGTAAGAAATAGGTGGTGGCTTGCTGGGAGTTGTTGGGTCGCTGTAAATCAGTGTGTTTTCTGCCTATGGTGCGCATCTCCGAGTCTGCAAACAGATTTAACTCAACCTTTATTATTTATTTCCTTTACAAAACATCAGAGATACCCAACTTAAGTCATTGTTGTATGGTATTCTGTCTGTTTATATCATAGACTATTGGAAATAGTCTCTGTTAATTAAAATGTCTGAAGAAATATGCTAACGTTTTTTTCTATTATAAATGGTAGGTAGAATTGTATATTAATTGACTAATTTAAAATGTCAGGATGGTTTTTCCAAGCCAACCTTGTATTAATAGCAAGAATCCTTTTGCTGATGAAATGGTCCCCAATTATCACAGCCCGGGTTTTGTTGTACATTCAACAGAAGTCAACAAAACAAGTAAGAGAACCTGCCTAAATAAGCAACCATACTCATTAAAAACACGAAATTAATCATAGGATGAATGAAGAAAGCAACGTTACATAGATATTTTTTTCTCCATTCTAATCATAGAACAAAATAATGTTTTACATGAAAGGATCGGAACTATTATGTGGTACTCAATTATAAGGAGGTGAATAGGTCCCTACCATGCCATTTTATCAAAGGAGCAGGCTGGTGATGGCTATTTCATTACAGACACCATCATTAATTCCATGTGTCAATACTGCCCTATAGTACGCAGAGCAGACAAGAAAGAGTTACCCTGCAAAACAAGGAATGATTTTTGAGTCGTTATCAAGCTAAATGGCAAGCAGGAAGCTAGACCTTGTATAGATATATTTGAAGGGACTCTTAGGAGATCTGCAAGTGGAAGAAGAGAATGCATTTTACCAACTGTTTAATTACGGTGCGTTTCTAAGTATACTTGAATAGAACGCTTTGTTTGCGTTAGAAAAATGAATCTTGCAGGAAGGGCTGTTTGAGTGCATTGGAGGTCACATAAGGATGTGCAAACGTGTAAAATGTTCCTGTTGTGTACTTGGGTAGGACTTGTGGATGCGGAAGTATTCATGCTGCCACCTGCTGGGGTGAGGTGATCTCCCTTCTGCCCTACGAAAATGTCTAAGAAATGAAATTACTTCGGAGAGTGTATGTGCCAGTTTTATGGGATAACTGTACTGCTTGTATTTCACCTCAAACAGCAAACAGATCCTCAGCTGCTCCGTGTTGTCAGAGCTCAGTTGAGGTCTCTAAGCAGCCAGTGCTAAAGGGGAAGCTTGCTGAGGTTGGTGGAGCTGAGGTGATTTGTACCAGGTGAGGGTCAGCTCATGTAGTCTTGTGCATTGTTCAGAGCCTGCAGTCAAATCTTAGCCAGGGAAAGAATGTCATGTTCTACACTACTTTAGGTATAGCTTGTGGTTAGGAAAAAAAAATTGGTCGGTCCCTGCCTTCTGCTCTGAACAATTAATCCCTATCTCTTCTTGTGGTGGCCCAGTGTATCTCTCTCTTCATATAGTTCAGTTTTCTTTCCTTGTCTGAGAAAGTGTGTATGGAGTTCAGCCTACTAATACAGAAAAAAGAATAGCAAACTTTAACAACCGTCTTTCATCCTGTTGAAGGACTTGCAAAGTAGGAAGCTTGTGCAGGCACAGAAAGGTAATTGATAAACATCCTTGTTATATTACGAAATGTGAGCTCAGCCCAGCTCATACTGAGCCTGGAGAGGAGGATCAGAACTCAAATACAGCGTGGTACAGTTCATAATGGTGCACTCTGAAATTAGTACAGGTGAGCTGAGAGTATCATGAAAAATGCACAAGTGCTCTGCGTGTTTCAGACTTCTACATTACGCTGTCATTGAAAACTCATGTGCTTATCCTCAAAACAGACACACCAAAAAAAACACCAGTAAGCCAACAACTGCATGTCTCAACCGGTGCATCTGGTATTCAGCATCTCCACAGACAATTCTTGGGGAGAGAAAAAAGTTTGTATTATGTTGTGGAGCATTTGTAGTGTAATGTAAAAGTGAATTGTGAAGGTGAGGTACAGAGAAAGGGCTCTGTGCCTTCAGTGTTGACAAGAGGTGAGGTAAGACTTCTTGACAGTGTTTACAGATAGAAGTATCTCTGTGTGGGGAGATAGAGGATTAAGAGGTGAGAAGACTTGCTTGTATTTCTCTGAGGTTTGTGAAGCTATCTCACAGCTTGTAACCACCAGTCCCTAAGCTGTATTGTGATCAGAAAAATAGTTTAGTCAGCATGTGTTCTACAGCAAAAACATTGCAGACAAGAACAAAGTTAGGTGTTCATCCCTCTACACTGTGTCATTTGTGTGGATACTTGCTCTCCAGCTTTCCCTTTGCTTATCAGCATTGACGCTAGATAGTTGCATCAAAGCTGCTGTGGGATTATGCAGAACTGGCCCATGTTCTCCAAGTGGTTTTCATTCTTAAGCCCATCATTGTGTCCTTCAGTAGAATACTGTTCTGACCAGGAATATTCCTCTGGGGTCCCTTTTTCTGAAGTGCACCTTTGATCCTTTGCTGGCCATTACCAACAGCAAATGGTAAATGGCTAATAAAGGACGTGGTTCCATGACTACTGCAGCAGTGCTGAATGTTGCAACCTAAGCATTGTGTTTTTTAAAACTGAAATTTAGGATCCCCTCAACTTAGGGGGCATGAAAAGCGATTTGGGTAGAATCTGCATGCTAAAGCCTGTACTACTAGAGGACGAGGAGTTTTCAGTCCTGCAGTACAGCAGGCCAGCTCTGTTTAGATGTCTGTTTAGAGATGGATTGGGGTATGGTTCTAATGGATGTCCTTCCCTGACTCCCGGCTGCCCATCCAGACATGGCTGGCCAAACCAGGCAGGTTCTTCCAGGCCACTTTCTCATGATTTGAGGTACGGCAGGCAGTGGGATTTGTGAGCTTAGCGCTGCAGTATCTGATGGCCACATCTGTGCAAATAGATGGATTCCTTTTCCTGAGCAAAAAGGACTCTTGGAGATTTCAACTACTGCTTTGCTGTACTGTATCTAGCTTATGCGTGCCATGTAATTCAGATGTTCCCTTCCCTGCTGTTTCTATTCTTGTGTTAAGGTTAGGTTGCCAGCTGCGTACAACCAATTTCTGTCCCTTCTTTTCAGCCAAGGTAGTAGTGCAGACCAGCAGAGAGCCAGTGAAATGCTTTTGTGCTCCCCACTGAGTGGTGTGGTGTTAGTGTCCGTGGCCGGGAGGGAACAGGGGAAAGGCATACACTGTGTTAAATCGCCTGAGTTTTACTGGCCTGCCTTTTAAGTGAGGGGTGAATTGACATCAAACCTCTGCTCCTTTATTTAAGGTGACTCCTGAATATTTTGAGGTGTTCTCCTCCCTCCCCCCCTTTTTTTTTTTTTCCTCCAGGAGAAAACCAAAACGTTATCTACGCCCTCGCAGGTTTTGCTATAATCCACATATCAATGAGGTGATAAAAAGTAAGGATTAAATAAATCTTTGCTAATACTTTTTGATTGGCTTAATCAATAATTAATCATCTCTTAGATGAGGCTGTAGCTTGTAGAGTAGATATAATTGGATTAGCTTTGAGAGGCCTTTAGAGCTTTGAAGAGATTAAAATGGCTGTCAATCCTGTAATTAAACTGCCGCAAACAAAGGCAGTAGTATTAGAATCAGTCAGCTTTTTAAAATGAATCAACAAGTACTTACACACCCCTCGTAGCAGTGTAGTGGTGTAGGCAGTCTGCTCTCTTCACCGAGTTATTTCCTGCAGCAAGAGCAACGTGCATCACATCTTTATTTTAATTGCATGTGCATGTATTGGCCAGAACGGCAGGTGAAATTTTAGGTGGGAATGGCTGGCCGGGAACTCTCAGAAGAAAAGCTAGTTTGTGTATTTGAAACGGTGAACCTGCTCCTTGCCTTGAGCCTATTAGGCACTGACTTTTCATGGTGTCTTTAATTGGCTAAGGAGGTTTGGCCTACATGAATGAGGTCTTTATCTGTCCCGCTCTTCCCCTCCCACCTATTTTGGAAGGTTTTTTGTTCCTCTTCCTTCAAAATAGAAGGCTTCAGCAGAAATAACTTCCTTTTAAAGGCTTATTATGTACTAAAGCATAACTGTATGCGATTGTATTATACGCATGTGAATTGATATGTGTACGTATGCTAATGCATATTCTTTTTTTCTATCTCCTACAGAGATGAGCTTATAAAGCCAATGGGAGTGCGGCCGGATGGCACAATGGCTCCTTTGGAAGAAGCAGCCAGCCAGTACCACACCAATAAGCAAGACAGTTCAGATTCAGACTAAAGCATCACCTGCTTCGCTCTTGATTCCCTAATCCGCATTTTCCTTAGAGCCACGGCATCTTTTTATCAGAGCATTTTATCCTCACGTTAGCCAGCGTCACTTTAACTGTTCAACTATTGGGATATTTAAATGATGGATCCTGTGGTGTAATGTCTGCATTTTTATGATGTCTGTTTAAAGAACGCGTATTCGTTTGATCTTTATTAATTTAAGACTAAATGTATTTCAAAGGGATAAAAAAAGTGAAAGCCTACAACAAAAAATGAAGTGTAAACATTTTAATTTTCCAGAATCCTGTTTTCCAAAGTCTGTAGGCTTTCCCATTCTTTATACATTTTTGTATTGTCTTCCTTTTTGCCTTTGTATAATTCTAATTAAACATGCAAATTTGCTTAATGGCATTAGGAGCATCAGAAGGAAAACTTAGAAGTCGGACTGACCTTGCAAAGCTGCTTTAGCTGGCATTCAGCAGTGACTTCAGAGCTTCCCCTTTTTACATGTCGTGGGATTTCCTACCACTACACACGTCTGTGGTTAAGCTGCTGCTTAAGATTTTACCCATGTGTCAGTCACTGACTGCTGCTAAAACTGCCTTTAAATTGGGAACAAGATGATGTATGTTGTTTGTCCTCCCCCCTCCATGCTAAGACCACACAAGTATTACAACTGCACCACCACCCCCCCGCTCTGGTTAAATAAAAACATCCCTATTCAAAACAGCATTCAAGTATATACACTTAAATGTTGCTGTGAATAGGAGCAGAGTGAAGAGAAGTCTATGTGTGAGTGTTTTATGGAATTGGGGCCTAATGGGAGCGCTTCACTTGAAGGGAAGTCAAACTACTAAGAAAGAAATAGTTCCCTTTTTAGGGGAAGATTAGGAAATGATGGGATAGAGAATGGAAAGGTGGGAAGGAGAAGAAAGTGTAATTTTCAACTGTGTACTCTTTAAAGATTAAAGTTGTAGTTGTGCTGCACTGTTGTTGCTTCTTTGTCTGCTTGGTTTCTTTATTGGCATGTTTCTCCTGGTAGGAATTTTCTGAACAATAATCTATATTTCAGATGGTAATTCCTTCTTTTTGCTCAGAAATGTCTACGTTGTATTCTTGAGAACCTCCGGGAAGCTGATGAAGGTGTTTCCAGTTTTTGTTTCCTTCAACTTGATGCTGGTACCCTGCACTGAAGAAGGTGGTTTTCAAAGGCCTCTTGAAGGAAGGAGTTTGTATGAAGCCAAAACCAGGTTTTGTTTTCCCATATGAGGAGCTTCCACAGGTGTACTTATCTTTCCAGAAGAACTGAACCAACACACTGCCGTCTTCTCAGCAGTTTTTTCCCAAGGAAAGCTATGTGACCATAGCTAGACCTCTCCGTTTTCCTTTCGTTAAAAGGGACTATTGTCACTAATTCTGTATATTTGTAAACACTGGCATCTTTCTGAATGTTATAATAATTGATGTTTTACGACTTGACTTGGGTTGTGTTGTCTGCTGTATCCACTTGGAGTGTCACATTTTCCATAGTGAAAAGAAAGCCAGTTCGCTCATATTTTAAGGAGGAAGCAATACCTACAGTAGAACCAAACACAGCATTTCTAACACTGTAATCATGTCTGCATACCTAGAATCCAAAACAGGGAATTGTCCACAAGCAGAAAACATGCTTAGTGGCACCTAAGTTTGTTCTCAAGTATGAAATTTTGGGGTTTGCATCATCCCCTGCCTCCTCTCAGCTCAGCCCCTCAGACAAACGTTAAGTGGCACTGCAGGTGCAAAGTGTTTTGTGACCTTTGGCTGAAGGGTGAAACTTACCTATGTCTGCTAATGGAGATTTCAGTCCTTTCGTGGTACCAGCTGTTGGTTCATGGGGCTGGAGGAGCTATTCTAGTAATAAGCTTTGGTACAGGTTGCCATAGAGGGATAAGTACAGAGCAAGAAAACAAGCTAAATCTCAGTTCATTGCCACATGTTGCAGCGTATGCTCATGCAAACAGCTGAAAAGAGAAATAGTATCTGCTCCAGGGACCTTGCTGTAAATGATACAGCAAGAGCCTTTTGTGATCTAGCTCCTGGCATTTTGAACAGCACAGCAGTAGATGCACTAAGCAGTTCCTCTGTTCAGTTTGTCTTGAAAAACACATGCTTGTATCAGGTTTTTCATTAAGAAGAAAACATGAAGTCCAAGTATTGAATGTTCTGCCTGTGTGCTGCAGCCCAACTGTGCAATTTTGGCTGCCTGTAGTGAGGATGCCTCTATATGAGCTGTATTTCTAAACTGGATCCTGTTCCATGGAGTCGAAGGTGTTGGACTGTCCTTTTGCACCTGCCCCATTTTCCCTCTTGTTCCCTCAATGCACTGCTGCACTTCTGCTGCCGTAGCCCTGCAGCCTGGCTCCCAGCCCATCACTGCAGTGAGTGCAGAGCCCACAAGCAGGAGCTGTCAAAGTTCAGTGGTACTCAGAGACTTGGGAACTCCCTCTCTTGAGGTTCCATCCAGTTGCCAGGCTATAGGGCTGCACTGGGGTGAATGTCTCAAGTACTTTCCAGTAGTGCCCATAGCAATCTGCTGCAGCACGTCAGTGCCTAGAACAGGTCAGAAGCTTGCTGCTCTTCCAGCAGTAGTCCTTCAGAGTCCCTACACAGGGGGTTTGAGGAATGCATTGAACTATTCTGTCTCATATAGAGTTGCAGACTCAAGGAAGGGACCTTTAAAGGCCATCTAGTCCAACTTCTGTGCAGAGAGCAGAGACACCTGCAGCTCAATGAGGTTGCTCAGAGCAATAGGAGGAAAATTGTATTCGATAATATAAACTCATGTTTTTGAGTGAGAATCACAGAATCACCAAGGTTGGAAAAGATCTCCAAGATCATCCAGTTCAACCATCCACCTATCACCAGTATTTCCCACTAAACCATGTCCCTCAGTACAACATCTAAACGTTTCTTAACACTCCGAATGTTTCTTGAACACAAATGAACCTAATGTTACAAAAGCCACCAAAGTCAAGTCTGGTTTGTCTTTCAAAGTCAAGTCTTTGTCTTTAAGGTCAAGTAGTAACTGTGAGCAGAAAAAGGAACTCGTGAATAAAATGTCATTTGATTCTCCGGTGGTGACTGTAAAGGATTTAGTGGGTTTCAGCAATGCAGGTACCCTCTACTCTCAAGAAGCCCTTCACAGGCCAGCCCAGACACAAAAACTTGCTCTTCCATCTTTTTCTTGGCGCCAACACTCAGAAATAACGTGGTTCTCATTAAGGCTCACCAATGATTTGGAAGTTTTGCTTTTCTTTGTTTCCTCTTAAATAGAGTTATGAAACAAAAGATGATAGGAAATTGCTGGAATTTGTCAGAATGCTTTGTTCTTTTGCAAAACAACTCGGCCTTATTCGTTGAAATGTTAATGAAAACTTCCTGGCAGGTATTCCTACCACTAACTGAAATTTTATGTGCCACAAACGTGGTTTTCAGGAAAAAGAGGATGCTTACAGTCTTTTCAAATATGTTGTGAGAAAACTACCAGAACTTTGGATGTTTCAAATACACATTTCTATATATATGCATGGCCAAAATAGGATTTTCAGGCCTTGCATGTGTACTTTTTCACCAAAAAAAAGTGTGGGGACAGCAACTGGGCAGTAGTACAGTTCTCTTCTAGTCCTTCAAGCACCAATTTTCCTCTAATAGCGTGAAAAATCTGTTGTCTGCGATGGCTTTAAGGAAGAATACATTGCAGTGAAACATGCTGTCATAGCAGTTGGTTGCCAAGCATCTGAAAACGAAAGGACATGAGAACCCAAACCTCCTGAAGAAGCATCCCACAACACTGTCCTCCACCATACTGCTGCAGAACAGCTCATAAAGCCTTGCACCTTAATCAGGCCGGCTGTCAAGAGGCTGTTCAAACAGCTGAAAGCCAGACTTTACAGGTCTTCGATGAGCAGCAAGTTAAACAGCCAGTGGCCCAGGATTCTTCTCTGGACAAATATGTAAAAATGACGATTTAGTGATGGTACAGAGGCGCATCTCAGAGTGGGCCTGGTGGGAGGAAGAGATGTCCTTCTGGCTTGGCAGCCTATGCTCAGCTGACTGAACTTAGGGCCGCAGACTGGCTCTGGTGCAAGGCCCAGCAGGCCGGGACCCTGCGTGGTGCCAGGCAGCGGGTGGGGGCAGGCTGGGGTCCCGCCGTGATGCCAGGCGGCAGCCTGAGGGCAGGGCAGGCCCTCCAGTGGCCCCACAAGCTGCACAGCCCTTCTCCCGCCTGCAGCCAGGAAGAAGGTAGGGCAGCAGTGTCTCTACAGCACTTGGTTCTTGCTTTTGACTCTACCATGAAGCACTTCCAAGAAGGGCCTTTGTGGTGGGATGTTTACATGGTCTGCCTAGATCTAAGGCCAGCAGGTTGACCTGGGAGGCGGGAAGCCCCAAAAGCAGACCGTGGCCACAGCCGGTCCATCAGCAGCGCCTGATATCACGTAGCTCAGGCCCACTCCCCAGCACAGCTGGGAGCTTCAGCATCCAGCAGCGCTGATGGAGCACCTCAGCTTTCTCTAGAGCAGGCGTGAGGGCAGGCACTGAATTGCTGACGCCCCTTCACCAGCATGCCGATCTCTGTGGGGTACCTAGGCAGGCTTTTAGAGGTTGGTAGGGAAGGAATTATTCAGACCACCCAACTTAGCTGGCTAAATTACCCGGGCAGCCTCTTCAAACTCCTTCTGCAGTCACGGATGAGAGAGAGGACAATTCAGAGTTAGGCTAATTTGGGTGCACTGAATAACCCTCTGCAGGAGCTTTGCTTTCCCTCCCTTGACTACAGAGGGAGCCTGGGGAGACCAGCTGGTTACATTTAGCTGCTAAATTGGTTGCCAGAAGATGGGTGGTGAGCATTCCTTCCTGCTTCCCCTTTGCAGTGGAGTGCACACTTCCAGAACAGGATGCTTGCTTGCTCTCTGGCAAATTTGGAGAGTGCTCGTGCAGTGGGATATGGGCCTCTGGGAGCTGCTGTGGCATGGATGGTTCATCTTAATGCTGATACCGCATGTCTGTGCAGGATTTTAGGGGCTTTTGCTTAAGTAGATCCTTTGGAGAAGGGAGCCTGTTTAACAACTTGCCTCTCTGTAAGCCAAGTTTTGCACATGTTCTGAGATGCAAGAAGCAAAGTGAAATTGTAATTATGGAGGTACAGATAAGAGAGAGAAAAGGCGTACAAGTTCTCTCCAGATGTCTGAAAGGGAGAGGAAGGCGATGCTGTGTAAAATAAACCCTGCTGAGATTGCCCCTTTCTCTAGGCCTGATAAACCCATTACAAATTCAAACAAAAGCAGCCTGGATCCACGTGCTTCAGGGCATCTGTAAGGCTTCTTTCACCTTTTAGAGCTGCTAACGGATGCTGGGTGTGGGCATTAGTCCTGCTCTATCCAAAGAGGCTAATTCCTAATTCTGGGAACTTACAAATACTAGTTTCTGCTGTGCGAAACCCTGCAAATCTAAGGGTGTCTTTCAGAATACAAGCCTGAGCCTAAGCTACTGGAATTCTAAGGATTAGGGGTTATTTTATACTCCAGGGATGCCTTTGTCCAGTAAATCACAGTGCTGAACATCATGCTTCTACAGCCATTTGAGAAAACAAGCGTTTGTTTATTTTTTAGTTCCTGTGAAGAGCGGTGGCTGCCCATGTTCTCTCCTGTTTTCTCAGTCCCCAAATGTTCATAACACCCTGTTGATGTGGAATAATTCCCGTCCGAGTTGTAAAACACACTTATAAGTAGATGGGAAAAGCATGAACAGAGCTACAGGGAAAACAAAACCACCAGGAACGAGATCTTATTTTGCATGCTTCTCACTGCTGTATTTTTGCCCCCATTAGCATATTTTAAAGGCAAGGCTTAAAAAAAAATTCTGCTATCTGCCTGAACTGTTCTCAAGCTTTGAACTTTTCCATCCTTTCCATTGGTGATGGCCAAGTGACCCATATTTAAAAAGCATTTACAATAAAATTATAGCACTTTCTTTTGTGCTGCCGGCTTTCCCAGTGAAAAGCTAAAATGTTTTAAAATTGTCACTTTTTGACAGAGGTAATGGCTGTAATATATTTAGTCTCTTCCCCCTTGTTGTGCTTAAAATGGCTATGCTAATAAAGGGCACAGCTGTCGATACTTTATGGCCTGCTGGGGGGAAGAGGGGGAACGAAGGCAAAAAACAGATTGACTGTGTGTCAACAAATGCAGCTGGGAAAGAAAAAAAGAAGCCCCTTGAAGGCCCCTGCAACTTAAAGTCCAAGATAAATGATGTCCCTATGCTTAAAAAAAAAAAAAAAAATGGAGGTTGGAATTCAATAAAGGGAGCCTGAAAAGGAAACTGCTTAAAACTGAAAGCCTTTTCTCTGCCTCTAGACAGCTTACAAGAGAAATGAGCAAAACTGACCACAGAAAGAGGGTGAGCAGCCAAGCAAGAAAACAAAAGCCTATCCTGGAAAATAT